CACCTCCATCCCTGGGAAGGTGATGGAACAGCTCCTCCTGGAGGTCCTCACTAAGCATGTGGAGGACAAGAAGGTGATCAGCAGTAGTCAGCATGGATTCACCAAAGGGAAATCATGCTTGACCAACCTGACAGCATTCTATGATGGAATGATTGGCTGGGTAGATGAGAGCAGAGCAGTGGATGTTGTCTGCCTGGACTTCAGCAAGGCTTTCGACACTGTCTCCCATCACATCCTCATAAGCAAGTTCAGGAAGTGTGGGCTAGATGAGTGGACGGTGAGGTGAGACCTGGCTGGATGGCAGAGCTCAGAGGGTTGTGGTGAATGGCGCAGAGTCTAGTTGGAGGCCTGTAGCAATGATTTGGTTTATTAACTACCAAGTTTTCTAAGACTTTTGAATATGCATCTCAACTCAACTAAAAAAAAATCCAAAGGTTACTGAACATCTAATTTAAGTTGTACTCAATAGAAAACATTATAAAGTATTTACTTTCTAGTTCTATGGGAAGAAATTTTTACTTATGGCACAAGTATATACAAATGTACCTGCTACAAGCATACTAACTCAAGTATAGAAACTTGTTACTATACTGTTAAAAAACAAGATTCAGGAGAGCTGAAAACCACATGATACATATAGAATTAATGTTTATTATCCTGAGATTAAAAATTCAAATAAAAATAAATCTGCATTATTTTCCATATGTAACTTTCACCTGTTTTCCTTACAACTTGGAAACATACCATTTCATTCTATACCCATCAAGACCAGAAACATTTTTGAAAATGTGTTTTTATCCTTTTGAAACAGGATGAAATAGATGATTGACAAAACTGCATCTAATACAAATCCATTTCTAGAAAATAGAGATCTAATATCCCTTCTGTGTTTATTGCACCAGCAATAAAGAAGTCACCCTGAAAATGCCACAACTGACAAAAAGAAATGAAAAAATGTCAGAAATGAAATGTAAAGCAGCCCTTCCAAAAAAGTGGAAAAAAAATAAGGTGAGGCAAAATTAATTAGCACCCAGAATCACTGGAATTTTTCAACTTAATGTCTCCATGCATGGAAAAATTAGTGCTCTGATAGAAGTATATAATGGAACAACTTCAAATGTATCCTTTTCTTGGCTCACTGCGTTAATACTTGACACCGAGCAAAATTAGACATCAAACATGTTTGTATAAGCTGTATTTTATAATGGACAGTCATCTTGTGAGGACCCCTAATTTGAGGTGAAGGCAGTATGTACCTGGATGGGTACATTATAAAAAGGGATAAGATGAATCTGCACTGATATAAACCCCATACCAGTTCTCGCAAGCATTGCTATGAATTCAGAAGCCACTCGCTCTTGAAGGCAACAGGATGGTTGTTAAGAAAATATAATCTGAAGTATGACTTGATAATATCTTTCAAATGCAAAAAGAAACAAAAGGTGCTCAAGCCCGGTCTGCTGTGGAGCTTATTTTTTGTCTAATCTATAAGTGTCCATAATTCTATCCTTTTGATGCAAGAATTTATGGCAATGAGTGAGGAAAACAACACTATTGGGAAAAGACTTAAATAGTCCTTAACTTTAAAAGCATATTGAAGTCTCATTTAACTTAAGTGAATTTAAAGGCATACTTAAAGTTAGATATCCTCCAGAGAAAGTTCTCTTTTTAAAGGATGGGCCTAAGTACATCTCTTCCTAAAGGCAAATTTTAAGAGAATTATCACTGGAAGTAGATCCGCTATCTTACCAGCAAAGGGATCAAAATCCACCAACATTATGCAGAGATGCAATTAATCAATTTCACAGACAAGCAAAAACTTGCTGATATGTTGAATTGCTTCAAAAAACAAAAACAAAAGGAAGATCATTTTTGCAAAATGAATACAAACTAATACAAGAGAGGTTGTTATTTCCACAAAAAGAATATTACCAAAATGATAAAAAAGCCAGAAGTATCTCTTCAGGATGCTCTCAGGAACTGAAGGCATCTCAGTCAAACATCCAGCATATGTCAGTGTCATAATCGATATCATAATCAATACAAAAACTGGGACCATGTAACTTCTAATTCTTATGTATGCATAGACACATTCGAAATATACCAAATGAATGATAAATCATCACTAGTCATCCCCTTATGCATCAAAGATGTCCTATCAATTGTGATGGAAATATGATGTTGTTTTGTATTCAAGTATAAAGTTTTCGGACGACCGACTTCTTACATTTCAAGATTAAGTATTTCTCCTGTTAATACAAAAGTACAAATTTCCTTTAATGATAGAAATGATCTCTAAGACAATTTAAGTTGTATTAGAGATATTTATGCTGAGCAGTTCCTTTAGATCCTGATTCTACAAAGCAAATCACATATACTGAATTTTTCTATATTGAGAAGTTATACTGAAATCACAGGATATCAATAGAAAAATATGTGTATACTTTTGCAGAATCTGCATCTAACTGCACCATTGCTAGAAAAAAAAGTCCTGTGTACAGCTTGACATGGACAATAAGCAGCTAAGTACTGAATGGAACACACTATTTTTTGTGCCTTTTCACAGAATCACAGAATCACAGAATGGTTGAGGTTGGAAGGGACCTCTGGAGATCATCTAGTCCAACCTCCCTGCTCAAGCAGGGTCCTCTAGAGCATATTTCCCAGGATCACATCCAGACGGGTTTTGAATTTACATTTACACTGGGGCAAGACTTCTACTAAAAATTGGTTCTCTGAGAAGTCTGCGCTCTCCAGAGCTGGGGCTAGACCTGTGAAGATAGCCATGGTCA